TTCCGATTTGACTGACATTTTTTTAATTAGCTGCTTCCATAAGAAGACCCATATCTTAGATAAAAATTTTGTAATTGGGTTTTGAGAATTAGCATTGTACACATGTAACGACACGGATTTTCCGGTTTCGTTATAATCTATGCTGTGGTATCTTCACTCTCTTTGCAGGGGTCGCTACAATAAATTTGTATTTGCAAGAACAGGACTTCTCAAATTAAAAGTGTTATGTTTAATATATTGTTTATTTAAATTATTTATTATTCATTCAAAATAAATTTCATTAAAAAAATAAAAGAACTAAATTAGACGTAATTAAATATGAAAAGGAAATTCCAAAGATAACTTGGGTGAAACCGCTGGCGGTGCTCGTTGGTCCTTTGAAATTGACGGCGTTGATCTTGTAATTCTCTTCGAAACTCTTGGGGAAAACGTTGACGACGTATGTTAATCCTTTGAAATGGGCGGCCTTGATCTTATGATTCTCTGATTTGGCTTCTGTGGAAACGTTGACTTGGCCTTTCGTTGCTTGCGCCGCGATTCTACCTGTTTGAATAAAAAGGTTAGCAAAAATTATGTTTTTATTTATGGAATATTCATATAATGGTGTTCAAGTACGTTGACTTAAAACCGCCTTCGTACTTTTAAACAATTATATAGATATTTTTTATGTATTATACACCTAGGCTTAAAACCGCCACTGTGTCAGACAATTTTTAATATTTATTTATTTTATATATTGACATATAATGCCACCGAGCGATCATATAAGACACACTAAATCCTTTTTTTTTTTTGGTTTGCAGTAGGTGGATGCATCGAAAGCCGCCGTGTGGGACTTTAATTCATTAAACCACCTCTAAGGAATGAAAGTAGAAGATTTCCACGGCAATGAGGAAAGTTCATTCCAGTAGACGAAGGAGAGAGAAGAGAGTGAAGACACCTAACACCTAGCAAGCTAGGTTCATCTAAGTCAGAAATCTTGAGCCTAAAATGAGGAAAATTGGTAGTAGTGAAGGGGGTGGAGTTATGGCAAAAGCGAGAGTGTGCTAGAGTGAGAGATCTGAGTCCCACTCATCAAGAAAATGAGAGATGAATTGGGGGACACTAAATTCTTTGAAAAATTCGCCGTCTTTTATACGCATCCTCTTGAATTTTTTGTGTAAAGTACCCAAAGCTTTGAGTTGATGTTAGTTGAACTTAATGCAATTTCACACTTTTGCACAAAAGCTTCCTTGTGCATCTTTTTGCAGCGAATTGCATTCTGACATTTACATTTTTGCTTTTTTTCATGTGCGCGTTTTTTAAATGGAATAAAATTTATTAAAATAAATAAAGTTAGTTAAAACAATCGGAGTTTAATATTTAATGTAATAAAATTATTTATATAAACGAAATTTACTATTGTTTAAATAACTCCAAGTGACGTGCGTGAAGTGGTAGTGCAATGGTATTTTTAACTTTTCCCAATTTTACTAAATGATAATTATATTTAATAAATTCATTTATAGGTACACCCAACTATTGAAGTATGATGTAGACAAGTGTGCTGGGAAATGATTCCAGGTAAGTATTTATTTATTATCTCGATGTTAATTTTAATGCACTTTATTTTTTGCAGATAATATACCAACAACAATAAAGCCATTGTATGTAAATTGGAAATTTGTACAAAATTTCCATCCTTACACACATTTTTAAACGGCCATAGCTCATGCTCTATAAATGATAATAACTCGACATTTGTTACATTTTAAAGATAATTGATTCAAACTTTTAGAAATAGTTTAAACAATTAAGATTGTTTATATTTAATTACTAATATTAACCATTGAATTTGAAAAAAATATATATTTTCCAAATGTATTCCAAAAATTTTTATTTTTTATATCTTATTTAGATTAAATATTAAATTTTATTTGGGAATCAAATATTTCAGAATAGAATTTTTTTTGAAATTTTTTAAAATTTTTTTTCTCTTCATCATACATATGGTACATACTTACTATACATACGTTGATTGAAGTTTCAAAAAATATACTACAAATATTCTTATATTTTTTCTTGATTTCGATTTGCAATAAAATTCTACAAGAAACCCGAAAATTTCAGGATAGTATTAATCTAAAAAGTACATTTATGCGCATTATAATACAATTTAATTAATTTTTCACAAAAAATGAGACTATAATGTTCATGTCTTATTTCTGAATTGAATGTATAATTAAATTCTACATAAATATCAAATATTTAAGTTAATTCCGCGACATCTCTATTTTTAAATAACGAACTTTAACATAATTAACCCGTCTAACTTTTTTTAAAAAACGGGAGACACTAATTTCAAAAGGGTTCATTACGGCACGGCTAGTACATCGTTTTCTTTTATTGAGACGAATTAAAAAATTAATTAGTTCTACACTAATTCTAGTATAGAGGTACACTTAATAAAACCAAAACTGAAATGCATATGTCCTATCGCGTAAAATTTATTTTGAATAGAAAAGGGAGCTTACATTTACAAGTTTGAAATACCATTAACATCTATTCATTTTACAATCAAATTAATTTGCTCATAATGTACCATATTATATATTACTAAATTAACCTTAACTATTTGAATGAATAGGAAAATAATTGAGCTGAGATTATTTTATAAACTAATATCAATTACTTTATTCTCACCCAAATATCTATTGAAATCAATTGTTACCATCGAACTGGGACCCTCTTATTTTGATAAAAAGCTTTTAAAGCGAATAATATTCTTACAAATATCGTTTTACAAATTTGTGGAACTTTGTCATAAAAAATAATTTCTGTAAGTACACGTAATTTCTTCATCACGCAAAAAAAATATCACTATTTCATGTTAGAATAAAAATGAATACATGATTATATATTATATATATATTATTAAATTAATTGATTAACACCTCATTATTAAGATTACCCGTACTGTATTGTACCATCATTGAGTAGAACAGCTGAAGGTACGTCGAATATAATAATCGATACTACGAGTATTTTGAATATTGTATAATATGTTATTTATTATTCGCAGCGGCCTAGCTAGATTTAATGTCTCGTGGTGCGGTAAGTTTATGTTGCCAAAAGCTGAAAACTTGTCAATTGCTTCATCAATCCTCAACCATATAATAACCAGATAATAATAGAGCTTGAATTGAATAATACTCCACAGAATGTTTTGAAGACGTACTCTACAGCAAAATGTAAATAGTTTGTTGATCAGTTGCTGTAGTTGGTTACCATTGTATTATGTGTTTAAATAAAAAAAATTGATAGAAGAGCCAAATTAGAAAGTTTTGACTAATCCGTTTGTCTTAAAATGCTTAGTTCAATTTCAATTCAATTCAACATTTATTTACTTCTGCTTCTAAACTTAGAGTTGTAACAGAAGGAGGTTTGTGTGTGTATGTGTGTGTGTGTGATGTATACTTATAGTTAGGTTTAATAGGTAAGCGATGAAAACAAAAAGGTTATAAATAGTAGGAAAATAATTATATGTATATATCTACAAAAAAATTTTAGAGAAAAGCAAATCTTATTCGTTTATAATAAATGATCTGATTTTAAGATCAGTGCAGTTGAAAATTTGAGATTTATTGTCTCTGAAGACTGTAACATAAGTAAAAAACTAAGATGGTGATTTCGTACTGAGGAGTAAACGGGACACTCAAACGTAAAGTGATTCAACGTTTCTTCAGTTTGTAAATTACAAAGTGCACAAAGGTTGTTGATTTCGAGACTCTAAATTTGCCCGTTAATACAAAAACGAGTGCAGTGCAATTGGGCGATAACCTTTGCCATAAAAAATTGTTTACGATCAAAAAGGTAAGTTTATCATCAAGGGCTCTTAATATATTGCAATTCATGGATTGTGAGTTGGTGGCTTTTAAAATGTCTTTGAATTTTAGATATCTTTGATAGCGTTCAAAGGCCGTAGTTCGGTTATCAATCCAAGTTGCTGCAGTCGGTGTTTCCAACAAGTTTGTCATATTTACAACTTTAAGAAAATCATTAAATTGTGTGAGGTAATGAGGTAAATGAGATGAAGGAGACATTGTTTGGGGTATCTTGATTGGTCGATTTGAAGAATGCGTATAATGAAATCGATTGCTCGTTTGAAAACTCTATATGAAATTTTCACTAGGCCTAGTTCAAGTCTTAGAGCTGCATAAAGCTTCTGCTCCATTGACATCACAGATACACAAACCGTTCGAAACAAATAAAGTCGTAGCAAGAGTGGTGTAATAGATTCTAGAAAATCATATTTTGATGTTAACTGCAAAATATCAAACAGATCCCAGATGTATGGATATCATTAACATATTATAGAGCTCTGTTTATAATTATGTCATGTTCGTCTCCTTCGAAATTTTTGAAAATTCAAAGCCAGATCTTTCTTTTTTCCAATAAATACATAAATGCGAAATGTAAACAGTTCTCTGGTCTATATTTTCGGACATTGATTTTCATATATTTGATTAAACCATTGGATTTGTGTATAAAATGTTAGATGTCCTCTTCAAACACGCAATTTTTATTTTGGTATGATACTTACAAAATGATATTATTCGATGTGATCATCACCCCTTTCCACATCAACTCAGCTACGTTACTGTTTAATGTTACGTGCATACATATTCATGCAAACTGATTTATGTCTTATTTACATAGAAAACAAAAATTTTTTTTCTGTTTACAGTCTCAATCGAAAACGACTGTCAAATTTGCTAATATTTCGATCAAATATAATTTACTTTTGAATTCTAGACAGTAACTCATTTTAATCTTAGCTTCATTATTTACCTCTGATATTTAATATTTTGCACCAAGACGAAAAATTTGTATACAATGCTTACTGATTACTTTTGATACTTAATATTAGCACCTAATTAACATTCCGCTTATCAAAATAAATTATCTTAATGCTCTGATAACAGTGAAATACACCAAATTAGATTTGTATCTCACGCCAGATGGACGTTTCAGTTCGGTTTTGAACAATTTAGAAAATATTCATACATCACAGATCTTCTTTACGATTAGTGATATAAAAATAAAAATTTTGTGTTTTTTTCCAAGTTTGAACGTTCAAAAAATAGTGTGTTAAAAAATTACAATATAAATTAAACAGCATCAGTAACTGAAGTTCAGCAACAGTAATGGACCAAAATACTTTGATTAAATGTAAAAAATTTCAAATTCAAGGTATTTAAATTAACAATCGAATTTTCAAATTTGTAAAATAGAATGCAAATTAACATTTAAAGAGTTTTCATTAAGTATTCAAGATTTATACAAATATTTACATTTGAGTTTATAGTGCATTTCCTAGAAACAGAAATATTTTTGTAAAACCCTAATAGCATTCGCTGTAGATACGTAGATATTTAAAATAAATTTAACGACGGTACAACCAAATAAATGAATGATAAAAAGAAGTTTAAACTATATTAATTCACCCAATAAATTAAAAAGATAATTAACTGTCTGACATCTAAATCATTGTTACATGAGATAATTTTCTGAGAACAACAACAACAACAGAAAAAACTCTTAAAAAAAACTCTTAATTTTTAATTTAATTTTAATTAATTACCAAAAATTAATTAAATTAATTTCTGTTAATAATTTAATTCAGAAAACTACTGTAAGCAGTTATTCTAAGTCTTTCTAATGAATATAATATAATATTTGCGTAATATATATATAGTGATATACTTCGAGCAAATAAATGAATCCTGTAATAATAAAAAATACATGAAATTCAAAGATACTTTATGATAATTCGTTAATATTTTCTAATTTTGTCCAATCATAGAATTAGCAGTTCCATAATCATAATAATAAAATGATTATAATAACAACACGAATATACTTAGTCAAATCTAATTTTAGGATGATATTTTCATTTAGCATCAGGAAGGATATTATTAGTAGAAGAGTTAACACAAATTAAAAAAAATGTATTATTACTAAGAGAAGGACAAAAAGTATCACTACTTATGGGGTCATCGAAGATCTGGTAATACTAACTCCAAAGCACAAACAACTGATGAATTACAATTTTCATATTTTTATTTTTACAGAAGAAATTATGTTAGTTTCTATTGCATTATCCTGTAATTGTGCTTTAATTTGTTTGAGTATTACAGTTCACCCTGTATACTTTCCCTCTAAGACATTTTTTCAGTTACATAATTTATGTATAAAAATAATATCACTACATATTTACTTTCTGAGAGGGTGGATAGCGTTATTTCCATATTTTTGTTGGATCATATATAGTACAGGTCCGGATCAAGGGACGTTGCTCAGATAAGTCTGTGTACAACGTTTTTTGGTATTTTTATGTATGTATGTAAATCTGCTATTAGTATTTTGATAAATCATGAAATTTTTGATTGCTGGCATAATAACTATATCACCTATCAAAAAAAACCCTATATAAGAAAAATGTTACTGTTATAATTCAGTGCTTCAGTGTTTCAAATTTTATAAAGCTTTTCCCCTGACATCTAAAAGATGACAAAATCATTTTCGTCATATGTGCACCGCGTTACGTAATCATGCGATAATACTATAAAAGACGATAATACAATAAGTTGAACAAACAATAACAAAAAAATATTCTAAACAGAATGACAACGAAATTATAATGTTAAATAAAAATAATTTTTGATTAGCCGAACACGTTAAATTAATAACCTTTACTTTTGTTCGTTGTACTTAATATATCAATATATAGTCATAGTCAGAACTATCATTACCTTTGGAATACTGCTGTGCTAAGGAAACGACAAAAGTATTAGATGACATTTTAAACAATGTTTCACCTTTTCTGCAATTCACATAAGGAACCAATCAACCAATCAACCATTCAAACGGACATCAATAAATACTGGACAAAGTACACTGATAGAAATATCGTTTGGTAATTGTATGGGGTTCGAAATATATTTAAAGTGACAGCAAATGTCATCTGAAAGTGGTTAAAATGGACTTTGTTTTGTATTTCTAATTTTATTTAATGATTCAAGTTATAATAATATATTTGTTATTTTACCTAATGTCTAAAAACACTACTAAAACACTACTACTAAGTCGAAATCGTAAGCAATCAAAACTCAACAAACAGTGGAGTTTTCTCTCTTCTACTGGATTATGGTTATAAAGCACTCTAGCATTTCTTGGTCTTGTCAACCGTCGTATTGTTCACATTAGTCCCTTCGATACTCTCAGCTACTGGGAATGGCGTTGAGGAAAACTCCTCCTTTTTTGATGTGTTGGGCATTGCCCACCTCTCGAACTCACTCTCCAATCCCGATTTCATATTAGAACTCCCTTCAGTGGTTGATTTATTGTTTTCTGCTTGAAGATGGTCCGCCATCTTGCCACCACTGCTTTCGAACGAATATTTAAATGCACAATATTCTTCTGCTAATGTATTTCCAATTGGTCCATTTGCAGCTCTTCGAATTTGATATACGTGTCTCTTTACCCCGTTTCTATTAAAAAGTATTGCCCGACAAAAAGTATTCTTTTCGCCTGGTGCGAATTCCGTGCACCTATTACCACACTGACACTGCATGTACTGCTTTCTTTCACCTTCTTTGCAATTTTCTCGGAACGAATAAGATTTAAGCGTGTTCGCAGAAGCTGTCCCAAAAACAACTGAGCTGGAGAGAAACCTGTAGTTGAATTGTGGACATTTTTGTAAAGACTTGCTTGTTGTGCCCATAGCTTTTAGTGCATTTTTGATTATTTTTACGCTATGCTCCGCCTGATCGTTAGTAGCTGGATAATACGTAACTGAATATTTATGGTATTTTACTCTAAATGTATTTAAGTAAAATTCGTTTCATTGTCAAAAATAACCATAAGTAGAAGATGAAGATGAAGAGCAATGCCATTCATCTTCACCATATCTAAATGCAATTACTAGTTATATCGCCCATTCAAATAGCTCTGCATAGTCGATATGGATACGCTCCCATGGTCCTTCTGGGTATTCGCTTGTCTCGCGCACCCATCACACTTGTTGGCCATATTCTCAACATCTTTGTCTATTCCTGGCCAATATAAAAAAGAACGAGTAATGCCCTTCATCTTCACCATTCCTAAATGCTATGTATTTAGGTTCTCTAGTAATTTTTCTCAATAATGTAAAGGGGTAATAATTCGGTATTCGAACGTTAAGCACCCTGATGATAACATGTAACTCGCTTCTGCTGATTTGTAGCCTTCTCTCTTTAAACAACGGCCACTTTGCAGTAGTTTAATTATTTTACCGAGATGTTTATGCTTTCTGATTTCAGTTGCAATACGTTCTGCTTTAATAGACAACTGACTTATCTGGAATGAAGTTATTAAACCCATCACATTCATCAGAATCAGTTGCTACTGTTTATTTGTTCCTAGTGTAATAATAGAAGAGGATCGCGTGACAAATAATCGGCATTTACGTTTGCTTTTGAATTTTTATATATAACTTCGTAATCGAATCTGCTTAAAAATTCTGCTAGTTAACTATATGCGCAAACCATCAGGCTGCCGTACTTAGCACTATCTAATCTCAAAGTAATCACTAACTGGACCGGGCGGTACGCATATCTTAGATCAGTTATTGAATAATCATGAAGTTTATGAGGAATACACAAAATGCACACCTCCCCGAGGAGCCTGTAACCATTCTGAGATTCGATAACGCGAATAGTAGTGTTTGAGGCTTAAAAGCATAGAAATGTTTCTATATTTTCGCTTGTGTCTTTTTTCCTTTATTTAAATGGAATTTACTGCTTTTGCTTTTGCAATTAAAGTTGTGGAATAGTTTTTCTTTTAAATACCCATAAACACTTCAGTTTATTAAAAGATTAAAAATATTATTATATTATTTTTTTTATAATTTTTTAAAAAAAATTTTTTTTAAATATTTATTTATAAAGAGGTTTTTTCGAACAGTAGTGAAATACAACAACAAAAATTTATTTTTTATATTATTTTAATTAATTGAATTTTTGGCTGACCATACAGCTGTTTCGAGTATTGCCAAATACCCATCATCAGTGGTCTTGGAAATAATTCTTGTATTTAATTATTCGAAAATAATTATTTTTTGAGACTGCAAGTACCAGGAATCGAACTCGGGTCCTGCCAAATGTGAATCAGCGCACTTTAACCAACTGATCCAAAGCCGTACTTGACTTTTTTGTTTGCATATTTTTCTGGAGTTTTGTTAATATTACTATGAAAGTTTTTATTAACAAATTTTACTTGCTGTGTAAAATTGTAAAATTTACTCATTGAGTAGAATATTTTTGTTTGAAGGTGGTTTAAGTTTTTAAAATATTTTTAAATTTTCGTTGACACATTTTCGTTGCAAAGTTTTTCTGTTTAAATTTTTCAAATAATTTGTTAGTTTTATTTTTGAATATTTTTTATAATTAAATTACAAAACTGTTTACAGCGCTACTTTGAGTGAAATTGTAACGTTTTCACCACATTTAATATTTATTTCTTTTTTTTTTATTCTTATATATGTCAGAACACAGTTTAACGATTATACTCTTAATTTTATTTTTATTCACATTTTATTATTATTTCTTTCTCAGCATTACGTTTCTAGATTAGGTTCTATACATAAGAAAGAACAAATCATGCAACAAATAATGCCTCTACGAATAGAATAGGTTTGAAATTTAACAATTAAAAATAAAAAATATAATTAATTAATTAATTCAATTATTCTACAGCTGGTTTATGATTTCGTTCTAATATACATATATACAGCAATTAAAATTGTTAATAAAAACTTTCATAGCAAAAGTAACAAAACTCCAGCAAAATATGCGAACATAAAAAGTCAAGTACGGCTTTGGATCAGTTGGTTAAGGTGCGCTGATTCTGAGCTTCATATTTGGCAGGACCCGAGTTCGATTCCTGGTACTTGCAGTCTCAAAAATAATTATTTACGAATAATTAAATATAAGAATTATTTCCAAGACCACTGATGAAGGGTATTTCGCAATACTTGAAACAGCTGTATGGTCAGCCAAAAATTCAATTAATTAAAATAATTCAAAAAAAAAAAAATTTTTGTTGTTGTTTCACTTCTGTTCTAAAACCTCTTTATTATTATTTCTTTAAATTTTACACATAGAGTCCAAATTAATTAAAAACAAAATTTATTAATTTTTATTTAAACTTAA